TTGACGCAAATTTCACTTATGCAAAATATTATTTTATATTAACAGTATTAAACATTTATTTAATCAATTTTCCATTTGACAAAATTCCCTTTTAACAAAATTTACGCTTAATTAGCAAAATAAAAATTTTTTTTTTACTCAAATTGCTATTTAACAAAACTTGCATCAAACCAAATTTCGTTTTCATGAAATTTCCATTTAACGAAATTTTCATTAGACAGAATTTTCATTTATAACAGAATTGTTGTTTAACTGAATTTTTATTAAAGCATATTTCTATTTTAGACATTAGTACATTTTAATTTAACCAAATAAACTCGCAAAACCACAACAAACTTAACCTAAAAATTATTTCACGAAATTTTCTTGAAAACTAATTTTCACATAATTATATTTGTATATTAAACATAATTTTTTTTATTCATATTTTTATTTAACTAAAATAAGATTAAATAGATGATAAATGATGAAATAATAATTGATACAAATAGAAATTTGCCAGCTAGAACTTCCAACAAGAACTTCTAACGAGAATTTCCAACGAGAATTTCCAACAGGAATTTCCGATTGGAATTTCCAGGGAGTGGAACACGTGGGTAAGAATGATTTCAATCGTTACAAAATAAATCGTAAAAACTGGGAATGGATTTAAATAATCGAATTTCAGTCACAAAAAAATGATTTTTGTTTACCTGTTTTGATATGGGATGAAGAAAAATTTTCCCAAACTTTGTCCAGTATATACATACAAGATTAGAGATTCAAAAATCCTCAATATGTACAAGTACCACTTAAAATAATTGCTCCTGCTTCCGTGCTAATAAATACCGAGGAACGTATATATATATGGTTATAAAATGAGAGGGGAAATTTCGCGCCGTCTCAAGGTGTATACAAAATCTCAATTGGTCTCTCATATATGCGAAAGAGAAACGATCAGGTGAATCCTTTAACAGCTGATATCCTCTCTTGACGTTCGGAAGCACTGCCCATCTTTTTTTTGAGAAGCAAAAGTGAGTGTCTTCTCGCACGGTCAACGCACTGAGGAGCAATCAAAATTTATATTGATGATGGAGGTTCCGGCAGTTATTACGGACATTAACTTTAATTAATGCCCAAATCTCAGTGAACAACCGTGTATATATATATATATATATGTGGCGATTAGAAGGCTGTATATATAGCCCCATTCACCGATTTGAATGATTAGTCAGTCGACGATTCGGAAATCATGGCGGTTGATCAAATAACAGCCCTCGGGTGCCGTGTTCGTGACCGACCTAGACGCAGTCATTCAAAAGGAAAAAAAGAAAAAAAAATAATTACCAGAGGAAAAGGATAACAGATTTAATCTACATTTTAAATGCAAAGAGAGAAATATTCCTAACATATATAAGTTCTGATCAACTTTTATAATGTTTGGTTCAATAACTTTTTTCAATTTATCTATATATGATATGATGGATGGAGTGAATAAAACTCGAGATATTTATCGATGTCAAGTGAATAGTTTAAAGTTATAATTCATGAAATTTGTTTTTTTTTCTAATTCAGTTGCGATGATAAATTAATGTTTTGTTGGGAGTGTGTAATTATAGACAAATTTGTATTGTGAGATTGTATGGTAAATGATAAAAGGTGAAATTTATTGAATTAGAAGTTATTTTTATAATCTCCTTTCAATAGACACGAGCTTAGAATATTTAATTTATAATGTATTTTATTAATTTTTCATAAATTGGTATTTATGAGGGTGTGTGTTCTATATGCAGTGTGGCGAAAAATTGTACTACACTGCGCAAATGTCGGTAAAGTAGTTTTTTTTAATTTGTAGCTTCTGATATATTTTCACTAAATTGTGAAATAAATATATATAATTTTATATTCCAATATTGACAAAATAAAACTTACTTTACAAAACAAGATATTGAAACTTTTTAACGCTGGCAATAAACATTTACGAATGTTAAAACACATCCACGACACGAAACCTGAAATTATAATTTTATGTTGATGAAAAATTTTTTTAAAAAAGTTTTAATTTATAACTTTAATTTTAATTTAAAAATTAACATAATTAAATAATAAAAGAATTTTTACACTCAAACATATCTTAGTGTCTTTTAAATAATTTAGTTTTATAAAAATTGCAACGTGTATTACAAAAAGTAGAAATATAATTAGAAATAATAATGAATTTAAATATTTACAACCTTAATTTAATGTTGAATTAAAATTAAAAAATTTTTTTTTATTCAATTTCATTAATATAGAAATAAATTGAAATATTGTTTAAATAACAATTTTTTATAGAAATTTTTATGGCATAATTTTCATATTTCAAAATTATTTACCGAATTATTTAGTATTTTGAATCTTCTAATTACTGTCAATCGTCACGTTATTTTCGTAAAACTAAAAATGATTGAATGAAGTTTGCAGTTTTCAATCAATTATTTATAACTTTTGGAAAAAATGAATTTAAAAATTTTTTTTCCATATTGTAACAATAATAATTTTAATATTTTTTAATTTTACTAAATATTTAAAAAACTATATTATTTTTTTTTAAATAGAATTGATTTTTAATTATATTTACAAGATTTTAAATTATGTAAACAATTATTATAATTCTTATTTTTATTCTTATAAATTATTTTATAAAACTGAATTTTTTTAAGAAATATTAATTAAAATTTAAATTCTAAAAATAAATAATAAATAAAATTTTTTAATTTTAAATAAAAATTTTATATTTCTAATAAATTGTTGTTATTGTTGTTATAAATAATGTTAATAATTTAGTTGCTATTGTTCATACTGTAAATAAAATAAAATTAAAAATATTGAGGGAATAATAATTTTTTTTTTAATTTATTTATTTTTCTATTGTTATTTAGAAAAAAAAACTCTATACGATTACACTTGAAATTTTAAAAATATTAATAAAATTCACTTATATAAAAAATCACTGTAAAAAATTGACAAATTAAAATTATTGAAATACATTAATTTAGAATTAATAATATCCGAATATAAATATAGATTCAAAACATTGACGAATTACTGCCCTTCCTCTTATTCTTTCTATCTATCAAGGGAGTCAGAGTATCTTTCAGTTTATCAAATCGGAGATACGAGTAATTTTTCATCTCTTGCATTTGATCTATGTCTTCCTTGCTCACTGAAAAATTTAGCCATTGTTTAATTATTATTTTATTAGATATAATTTTTACTAAATTTTTATTGCTTCATTTAAAAAAATATATTAATATATAAATATTTATTTTATATATAGTTACATTCAAAGTTGTACTATAAAATAATTAAAAGTTATGATGTGTAATTTAAAAAAAAATAATTTCAAATAATTAAAAGTACCTTAAAATTATTAACAAACTATTTTCATTATTAAAAAAAATTTTAATAAATTTATTAAAAAAATAAATAAAAACTCTGAGATGAGAAAAAAAATTTATTTCTGTCAAATCTAAATAAATATTTGTCTTAAATAAATTTTATTTGATTGAAATAAAAAATTTTATTTGTATTAAAAAATATTTTTTATATGAAACAAATTAATACTTATTTATCTCTGAGAGAAATATATTTTTATTTAATTGAAAAATTATTAAATTAATAAAATTGAAATTCATCTATAATGTGATTGGAAAATTTTTTTTTTCTAACTGTATCGTAATGAAAAATATAAAAAAAAATTTAATTCTAATTTTTATTTTCAATCATTTTTTAAATCATAAAATATAATTTAAGATCATTACTTTTCATTTCTCGATATCTAATATCATAAATGCTTTCTTGCAACGATTCAGGACCAGGTTTATTCAATTCAGTGGATTTTTCCTTTTTGACAAATTCGCTGACTTCTAAAATTAAAATTTTTTACCACTAATTAATAATTTTTTATTAATAAATATATTATTATTATTATTAATTTATTTATCATATAAATAATCATATTATGGGTATTTATAATTTTTTATTTATAAATTAATAATAACTATAATATTTTCTATTTTTTTATTAATTTATTTATAAATATTTACAAAGGTAGGAATTGTTTTTATTTATTGAATTAATATAAATTAATAAATTATGTAAATAAAATTCATTTAAAAAAAAATTTTTTTTTTTTTGGTAAAATTTAAAAAATCTTAATTCACATTTAAACTTACGTTCTTTTAGTTTGGCGGCTATTGATTTTTTATTAGCAATTTTCTGGGGTGTAATTTTTGGATGAATCGTTCGTTCACTGATTGCATCCGTTTCTTCGACATTGGTCGCGTTCTTTGATTGATCTAACTTATTTTTCTCTTCCGATATTGACCACGGATGCTTATTAGGATTCTTTATACTCAATTTTTCATCAGCATTTGATTTCGATTTTTCTAAAACATACATTTTATAAAAATTAATTTTCAAAAATTATTAGGTACATAAATTATTATTATTATTTTTTTTATTGGTATTTTTATTATTATCTTAATTGGTAATTTTAATACTATTTTTATTATTACTTTTATTATTATTGTTATTTTATTATTATTATTATTATTATTATTATTTTACAGGTAGGTACTATTGTTGCCATTAGTAAATATCAAATATCATAATGTCAATTAAAGCAGCATCAATTATTTTTCGGATGAGCATAACTTGAATCCTTTTGTCAACCCTTTAATGCCCTCGAGAAAAAAAAAAACAAAAATTCTTGATAGTTATTTATTCCGGGATTTTATAACAATGAAAAAAATCAAATTTTAATCCGACAATTGAATAATAAAAAATTTTATGTACAATTTTCATTTTATACTCAAACTAAATAATAATTGATGATCATAAAAAAAAAAATTTTATTTTCGAAATAGAAAAATTGGATTTCTACTCAAAAAAAAAAGTTTTCTTCATAAAAAATTTTACAATGAATTTTTAAATGTAAAATAGAAATTGTAAATATACCACCCGGAATAAATACTCACCAAGAATTTTGAAATAGTAAGATATAATTTTATAATTGAATTTTAGCACTGTAGTTCATTGATTTTTTCAAAATTCTTTCCACAAAAATTCCATCCAAATGATTCCAACATCAATTGTTGATTGATACTCGACAATACAATTTGTCCATTCAAATTGTTTAATCTAGTGTGAAAAAGACCCTGACCCTTGTAGAATTGCCACCTCTCATACTTCCAATCATCATCCATGTCAATCGTATTGATGAGTTGTCTGCACTGATACAAAGGGTTAAGATTTTAGATTTCTGACACTATAAATGTAATCACAAAAGATGAATCCTTTGTTATCAGAAATTCAAGAGATATGCTAACCAAATTTTGACTATGTTGCTGTCCATAATTATTCTTCGCCACATCAGATTCAGCATGTTCCCTGCTTAAACTTCTATTGACATCAGAGTGTTTTAAAATTTCTGTATTGGTAAAATTTTTTGCCCTACTGGAATGATGGATGTTTTTATTTATTAAATGTCTATTGGATGTTGTATCTATTGGACCATCATCTTCTTCGTATTCTGAAAATTCTTTATCTTCATTGATTGGAGTTTTTGTATAATAATCCTCATTTTCGTCCAGTTCCTCTGTTTCATAATTTTTGTATTCTGCAGTGGATTCGGAATTATAATTACTGCTTTTGTAAGCGGCATTGTTGTAACTTGTTTGGATTTTTTCATCTTCATAATCATCAGTGGATTCTGTATTTCCGTATTCTTGATAATCATAATTAGCAGTATTGTAATTAGCAACATTATAATTAGTTGCATTTTGATTATCTGCTTGATAATTATTTGTATTAGCTGCTTTAAAATTAGTACTATAATCAGCAGTATTATATCCATCTGAAGAATTAGAACCTTTACTTGCACGATAATTGGAATTAAAATCAGAATTATAATCCTTAATGTCCATTTGTTTTCGACCACTGCTGGCTAATGAATTTATTGGATAATTTGATTTTGGTGCTACTCGCCATTTGTAAAAATGCTCACGACTATAGGGATAAGGATCACCAGTAACTCGTATGTAATCACCTTCGGGAGAATAATTAGCAATATCCTCATCTGATTCATCATCTTCTGTGGATTTTACAATTGGTTTCTTGTCCTTTCCTCTAGTGACATCAGCACTTGTTGCAAAATAATTGGATTTTTTTCGACCAGTACTTGAACCCGAAGAACCACTTGATGAACCACCAAAGAAACCACCATTGGTATTAAATCCCGATGATGAAGAATTTCTCGCATATTTGATGAATGACACTTTCTTTTTTAAAGACGGTTTCATTGATATTGTAATTTCAGTTGGTAATGGAGCATCTAAAATGCTGTCTCCTATTTTACTGGGTGATGATAATTCTATTTCAATCATTCGTCCGTATGTTTCATCGACTTTTTTAGCTTCTAAATCATTGTAATAACTCATGTCATCTGTATTAATTCTCGTTAGGGTGAGCATTTTTGTCGGTAATCGAGGTCTTGTTCTTGCTGAAACAATTTCTTTTTGATAATCATTTTTTGGTTTATTAATTATCATAAATGGTTCGACGAGTTTTTCCTTAACAGTTTCGTTTTTCTCAAGAAGCAAATAGGGGGGTTTTAGTGAATTTTCAGAATCAATGTCAGTTGTAGCCGATAGATGACTATCGGTGTGAATTCCTTTACTTGACGATGTGTAATCAGGTGATTTTTTAAAATTGCAAATCCCTCGGATTTCTATTTCCTTATCAGTTGCCAATTTTACAACATCCAATTTTGGTGCTTCTGGATTTAACATTGGTTCCAATGGATTGAAGCACTCCTTGGTTTCAAGTGCATCATCAATTGGTGATTTTGAACGTTCTGCAAGATCCTGCCAGGCGATAATTTCAGCATTTTGTGGAAGTCCTTTTGGAACATTGTAATCACTATCAGCTGTTGTGTCCTCCGGTGCTGGTAACGATATATTCGCTTCAATTTGTTCTTTACAATTTTTAAAATCATCTTTGTCTTTAGCATCCATTTTCTTTGAATTATTAATCTCTGTACTGACTATTTGACAAATTTCAGGTTTATTGCTTTCTTCAGTCTCAACGAATTCTTTAATTTTCAATGATTCATTAGAATTGTTGCACCTCTTTTCTTCAGTCTCTTCAATTTTTTTTACTCTAACACCCCAAGAATTTTGTAAAATATATTTTGGTGTCTTAACAATTTGTTCTTTTAAATTTTCAACAGGTGGTGGTGGTGGTGTTTCTATTAATTTAACTCCCCATTGATATCGATAATTTTCTTGTTCCAAAGGCAAGAGATTATTTTCTAATTCTTGAGTAGTTTTACCATCAACTTTGATGACTGGTTTCTTTCTTTTTTTCTCATCTTTCTTTTCTTTCTTCTCCCGTTGCTGCGGTGGCATGTTGGGTTCGGTGATTGGCGGTTTCGAAGTATAAGACGCCAAACCCATAATTCCACGTACTGGTCCCAAAGACACGAGACCCATCTTCTTTTTTCTCATCGACTGTGCTAACATGTACTCGCTCAGTAGTTTGTCGATTCTTATATACTTCAAGTAGGAATTATTGTTGTTGTTACTGTTGTTGTTGTTGTTATTATTATTATTATTTCTCAGGAGATTATTTTCCATACTATAGTTGGCCAATATTTTTCGAAGGGGTCGATGATGATTTTGTATTTTCGAACGTTTTTTGTATTTGGAACAACAGATTGGCAATAATTCAACTTCTCGAAATCGTATTTCTACAAAAATAATTAACAGAGACAAAACTAGTGCAAAATTCAGTAAAGAAACAAAAAAAAATTTTTTTTTTTAAATTTGGATATTTTTTTTTAATTACATTATAATAATCACGAATTGTTTTGTACATTAGGAAATTAAAAAAAAAACAGTAATAATTGATAAAAAAAAGTAAATTAAACTGTAAATTAAATTTAAATAAAAATTAAGTATGAATTCAATAAAATTGGAAAAATAATCACGTATTAATTATTTAAGTAGGTAAATAATTTTTTTTAAAATATTTTTAATTAAAATAAAATTTTGAATGTAAATTTTTGTTGAATTTGTAAATTGTAGTACGTATATTAATTTCTTTTTTTTTTCTTTTAAATTAATACAAATTTTTTTTCTATTTTTTATTTTTATTATTGTTTTTTCATTTTTATTTTAATATTAATTTTATGCTATGAATGTGAAATTAGTATTTTCAATTAGGCAACGTTTTTAATAAATTAAAACATTTTTAATTAATATTTGTAATAATTAATATTAATAAATAATTAATTATTGTTTCCAATTTTGCAAGAAAATCAATAATTTAATAAATTGTAAAGTAAACTAAACAATAAATTATAATAGTAATATTATTATATAATAAAATATGTAATAATATAATAATAAATAAATAAAAAAAATAATTATAATTATTATTGTTATTATTTTATTATTATTTTATTATTATTATTATTATTATTATTATTAATTGTTATTATTTTTTTTAAACGACAGTACCGTTGTATGTTTTAATTTTTGTAAAAGAAATTTATTTTATACACCTTTCCATTTCTTGGTGAACAAAAAAATTGTTGGAAACAATAATTTTATTAATTTTCAAAAAGAAAAAAACCTCATACCAGGCTGATTGAAAATTTTCTTTATTTTTGACAAAATTCCACCATATTTGTTCTTTTGTTCCACGAATCTTATATTTGCTGTGAAAATAATAAATAAATTATTTTAAAAAAACTAAATTTAAAAATAAAAAAAAAATTTCAGAATAATAAATTGTTTTCTTTAAATTAACAAAAAAAAAAAAAAATGAAAAATTGTCATTTAATTTAATTTTCATATGGCTGTCAAATGACCCTAATTTTAGAAATTTTCAGATTCCTGCAAAAAAAAGGGGGGGAGGAGGGCGACTCAATAAATTCAATACATATATATATATATGTAAGATCGACACATTATTTACGGTTTCTTATCGACAAGCATTTGGGGAGAGGGCTGAACTTACCAGTAGACAATGTCCTTTGGGAGACGGGAAATAGAATTCCCTTTATTTTCAGGGCTGAATTATATTGACGTCGAATCATATTGGTTCTTGATGGTGACAAAAGTGAAGTCATTTTTTTTTTTTTTTTTTTGATAAAATCACTGGAAAAATTTTCTCAAAAATGTTAACGAAAAATTTTACTAAAAATTTTCAGACTTGTTTGATGAAAAAGGAAAAGGAAAAAAAAATTTTTTTTAGGTTGAAAGCAAACCTTCTTTGTTCCAGGTTCGTTTCAAACTGTCATTTTATGTTTTTTTTTTTTTTGAAGTTCAACTCATTTCACTGTTTCTCGACCTCTTTTTTTTCAAAAAATCGCAACATAACCATTTTATATTTTTTTTGAATATTTATTTTTTTGATTTAATATTATATATTTTTCAAAAAATATTTTTTAATAATTTATTTTGTTTCAATATTATTTTTTTGAAATATTTTAATTTTTTTTAAATTCATTTGGATTTTTTTTTTATTGGAAGAAACGATTTTATTTTTGTTAACAAAAACGTGATTTTATAAAATATTAAATAAAAAAGAAAAAAATAGTTAAAGAAAAATATTATTTCGAAATTTACAAAAATTTATTATATTTTATTATTTTAAAAATTTATTATTGTTATTATTTACAAGTGTTACAAAATTGCAGTAAATTTAAATTTTCAAAAATTTTATTTCTAATGTTTATTTATTTAGCAAAAAAAGAAAATAAAAAAGTGGAACTTGTCGATTTTTATGTTTTTATTTTATTTAATTACGTTACAATTATTGATAATGTCAAAATCTTTTATTATCTGTCCGACCTCGATAACCAGGTTTATACAATTCATCGTAAGGGGAAAATTCTTTTTCACTTTCTCGCATATAGGATTCATCTCGATATCGTGGTGTCATTACTTTTTCGTTAGTTTCTGAAATATATATATTTCAATTTTTAATTATTTTCATTCATAATTCATAATTAAATTATTGTTGTTATTGCTTACGTTGTTGAGAAAAACCAAATTTATTTTTCACATAGTCCCACATTTTTGCTTGTACCACATGAGATTCTGAATTTAATTTTTTAATTCCTGAAAATTTAATTGAAATTAATTTTCAACTGAGAAGACATTACTTTTTTTAATCAAGAAAAAAAATATACGTACCAGAAAAATTATCGAAAACTTTTACAAATTGGAGAGGTCCATTGATAAATTTACGTATAAACATGTTCAAATTATACTGAGAATTTCGAAAATTCGTTTTATTTAATAAAAATAAAAAATTACATGTCCATTATAATATTTTTGTTTATAATTTATTGTCATGAAGTTGTTTATATTGAGCTGCAAATGTCGATCTCCAATATCGATTAAAAATTTAAATTCTATAAAAATTTTGTTCTTGTTAAATAAATAAATAAAATAAATAAATTTTTTTTTTTAATTTAATAATAATCAATTGATTATTATTAATTTTAATATTATTACATTATTAATAATAATTAATATATTATATTACTACTATTTTTATAATAATTATTAGAATTATTATATTATTCTATATATTGTAATTATTTCTAATTATTATAATTATTATATTATTAATAATAATTATAATTTCTAAAAAAAAGGTAAGGGATGAAACGAATTATTCAACAATTTTTTTTTAGGTAAAATTTTCAACAAAAATTGACCATTTTTTTTTTAAACAAGTTATATTTAGTTACAAACACAAACATTTATTTTAAATATATTTTATTGTTTATTACAAAAAACTGTTTTCTTAATTTTTTTTCCTTCCTACTAAAAAAATCAAATTCATTTAACCAATACCACTTCAAGTAACTGTATCGAATTTTTGCAACCTAACTTTTTGGTTAATCATTACTAAAACTTTTTCCCCTCATGAAAAAGTAGATTTACCCTCACTGAACTTAATGCCATAATGGACACTACTTTCTTTTCGATTATTCCCCTATTGCAAATGCGAATGATCAAATGTTGAAAATAATGACAAAAAAATCTTTGTTTTTTTTATTATCAAAAACTCGCCTCTAAAAATTAGTTAGAATTAAAAAATTCAAAAAACTGCTTCACATAACATAACCTCAAATTCTTAATTTACGCTGTAAAAATAAATATATAAATAAAATATATTATAAATAAAAATATAATAATAACAATAATAATAATAATAATAATAATAATAATAATAATAATAATAATAATAATAATTAATATTAATAAATGTAAAAAAATAAAAAACGTTTCTAATTTAAAAGAGAAAAATGATTGTAAAGTTATTTTTTGAACTGTTATATATATAAATAATATGGCAATGGCGTCAAAATAATTGTTACTATGCAAGGCCATTTGGACCACGTTTTACTGATAAAACGTTAAATAAAAATTTAAAGGGCATTATCGTGAACATTGAGAGGAACATTAAAAAAAAACGCACGTGTCCTTTACGGAGCTTTGAGATGCAATTTTAAATAGCTATTCCAACTGTGTGCTATATCCAAAGCAATCGCGTATATAGAGGGTGACACATGTCCCCAATGCTGCTATATACATATGTTTTCGTGGCTTATGTTTGGAATACCAATTGCCTATATATGTATATATATATATATACACCATGCAAAAGTCACGCGGCGAAGGGATTCCTACATGGGAAATAAATGTTTATCGCGCTCGACACATTATGCTTCATGTGGACGAGATACATACATTTCTCCTCACTTCCTCTTAAAGTTTCTATTTATATTATATAAATGCGCCTTCTAATACATTTCCATCACTATATGTATACAGAGAAGGAAATATGCCACAAAAGTTAAAAAATAAAACATAAAAATGGTTGATCAAATTTTTTTTAAAAACTACTTTTTTTTATTTTATAAAATAATTTATTTCTCAAATAAAAAACATAATAAAAATTAATACAGTGAATCTCAGTGAAAAATAGAAGTCAGAGCAATGAGCTATAGTCATTGAGCACTGGAAAAAATAGTTGCTCGTTTGACTTTAGTAGTACAACTAGCGCCATGTGCTACTCCTAGCGGAGAGTTTCAGCACTGGAAAACTATTCACTACACAGTAAAATTACGCATAAGATAAAAATAGATCAATTTTATCACCTCTAGCACAAAGGTAATTATTTTTATTTCTCCTTTAAGTGATTAAACATTTATAGAATAACATTTTGAGTATTCTTATAATTTCCCAAAAGGGTTGTTTGTCACCTTATTCCGTATATTTTATATATCAAAGAAAAAAAAAAAGATAATAGTCTCGAATGACACTTAAGAGGCATAGTAACCGCTACTTGAGCATTTATCAACGTAATAATAAAATACGATCTGTAAATCACGATGCGTGTTTCTGACCCGGTCATAACCATTTCGAGAGATTGCGATGGGCCATTCGAGGCGTCACGTCGCATGACAAAGTCAGGGTTTGTACCCGAATGAATATATATATATATATATATATATATATATATATATATATACGTGAGAGAGAAATCGAAAGGTGTATATGTATACAAGAAACTTGTGTCACGTACTTGGAAGACCACAAGGGAACGATGTCTCAAATGATCACAGGGGACCATGGAAGACATGCACCTATAACAGTGACTTTTCCCATGCGAAAAAAAAAATATATATATATATATTTGCCCTCGCGATCTTACGCTGCGGAAAATACAAGGCAGGACAAAAAAAAAATATGTCGGGAGTGAGAAAAAGAATTTCTGTACGTGGTATTGGGACGACGATAAGTTTTGTCATAGCCAATTTATACAATTGGCATGGCTTCCCGCTATTTGGCACTGGGGACCCACGAATTTATGGCTTAATGTTTTGATTTTGGCAAATTTTGCCCATTTTCTTATATTGGGGATATGTCTCTTTCAGTAAGTATAAATATATTCTTTTTCAATTGAATCTCCGATGAATTGCAAAAAAATTCAGGAGTAAATCTACGTATGTAAAAATATTTTTCAAATATTCAATTATTTTGTTTCCAAATATTTTAATTTATTTTGTGATAAAATACAGTAATAAAATTTTATAATAAGGTGTTTTTCCTAATACACAAAGTGATCCACATGATGTCAGCGCTTAGAACCAGAGGGCAAATTCCGGATTCCACTTTTCACATTCCGGATTCCAATTTTCAAAATTCCGGATCCCACGTTTCAATCCGGAATACGGAATTTAGAATCCAGAATGTGGAATTTGGAATACGGAATTTTGAAAGTAGAATCTGGAATTTTGAAAGTGGATTCCAGAATCTGAAATACGGAATTTCGAAAGTGGAATCCGGAATCTGAAATACAGAATTTTTAAGTGGTATCCGGAATGTTTAATATGGAATGTGGGATCCGGAAAAAATTACGTAATTGACCCCCAAATTCAAAACACAAAAAGGTGTGTTTGAACATCTTCGCAAGTGTACATTTTCTGTCAGAGAATAAACCACATGGTCAAATGAAACTTTAGGGAACTTTTCATGGGCTTTCGCGGAAGAGCTTAAGTGAATTGAAAATAAAAAAAAGGTATTCTGCGGAAGAATAAATGACGTCCTTTTTTTCTGGAGACTCCGTCGGGAAATCGTTGCGTCAATACTTTTCGCATTGCTTCATGGTAACCGTTCTCATGGTATGTGTGTATATATAGAACTATATGGAACTTGTGGGGGCGGTATATAGAATACTATAGGGTTTGAGGGAAAAGTGGATTGTTATTCGCACCACGTAGGGTCTCGGTGTCGCTTTCACTAGAATCGCTTACTGATAAACGAGCGGTTTTACCCCCTTCTCCTATGTATATGTATACTATACATTTACCCGTTGCCCTCTCTGAATGTAAACTCACCCTTCTTTCAATACGATGCTTTAACCAAGCTCGCGGGCTTTGGTGTAAATCGTTTCTCGACTTAGAAACGATTGTCCTCGTCGACGAGTTTGGAATTAATCTTTGCTACTAAGAATCATTCCACTTTCTAGTTACGTTCGCTAAAAGCAAACATTGATTTAAAGTTTTACGGATTTGGTATAGGTGATTGAATTATACATAGATATTTGTTGTCACTTGAAATTTAATTTTTCATAAAGCATAGTTTTCAGAAGGAAGTTAGAGGCTGTTGTTCCTATATCAAGACTTAGGCAAATTGTTGAATTAATAAATAATATTGCTAAATATATTTAAAATTTATACAAATTATAATATT